CTTGGGCCCCCCCCTGCCGCAGCCCCCCCACCCGGGGGTGCTCCCCCAGCCGGGGGTGCTCCCCTCGTTCCCCCCCGGGCTGGACAAGAAGGCGGCGAAGAAGATGAAGAAGAGGATGAAGAAGGCTCACAAGAGGCACAAGGTGGGGGGCGCCCGGGGGGGGACACAGAGGGTCACCCCCAGCCCCCCTCGGGGGCTCATGGCTCTGCTGTCCCCCCAGCGCTCTTCGTCGTCCTCCTCCTCCTCCTCCTCCAGCAGCTCCGACTGAGGCTCCTGGGACCCCCCAGGACCCCCAGAACCACCTGGGACCCCCCAGAATCTCCTGGAACCCCTGGGACCACCAGGAGCCACCTGGCACCTCTTGGGACCCCTGTGACCACCCGGGACACCCCAGGAGCCCCATCCTGTCCCCGTGCCCCCCATCCCCTGTTCCCGGGGGGTCCCGGGGTGTCCCCGCTGTCCCCCAATAAAGCTCTGGGACACCCCAATGTGTGTCAGCGTCTCCTTGGCGCCGATGGGGGCGGGGCTTGGGGGGGGACACAGACCCCAATGCTGCCCGGGAGGGGGGGCTGCCCCCGTGCCCCTATTGCCCCCCAAACCTTCTTATTGCCCCCCAAACCTTCCTATTGCTCCCCAGTGCCCCATAGCTCCCCATACACAATTCTACCACACCTTTAATTACTCCCCTTTACCCCCATTTCCCTCAGTGCCCCCCAGTGCCCCCTTTTTTTTTTTTTTTGTTTCCGTTTTTTTTTAATTTTACGAGTTTTTCTTTTCCCGCCCGGGCCCGGTTTTTCCGCCATCCCGCGCTGTTGTTTTCCCCCCGCCGGAGCGGGAAGGGGGAGCACGGACGGGCCCGCTCGGGGCCGCCGCCCCCCCGGGCGATCCCGGATCTTCCCCCCGGGCCTGCCCGGAGCGGAACGGCGATCCCCGCTCCAGAGCGGGTTCGGAGCCCCGGGCCGGTGCCTCCCGGCCCGGTCCGGAATGCAGAGACCCAATTCCCCCTCCCCGAGCCCAGCTCCCCGCGGCGCCCTCGTTCTCCCAGCACTGGGCCGCTTCCCCCCGCCGGGCTCCGGGTTCCGTTCGGAGCCGCCGGCCCGGGATCCCCCTCACCCGCCTTGTGATCGGGCCCCATCCGGGGGCTCCCTCGCGGCCCCGGGGTCGCTCCGGGACAGCCGCGCCGCCCCGCTCCCCCCGGCCCGGCTCGGAGCCGGGACCCCCAGCCCGCTTCCCCCCCACACCCCAATCCCCCTCAGGGCTGAGCTGGCTCCGGAGCCGCGTCCCAACCGCAGCAGCCGCGTCCCCGGCTTTGGCAGGCGGATCGGGCGCGGGGCCGGGCGCAGCTCGGGGAAGTTTCCCTGCGGAACGGCCTCGCCGGGAGCCCGGCCCGGGCCCGCGTCACCCCCGGCGGAGCCGCTCGGCCGCTTTTGTCCCCGGGACGGGCCCGGGCTGCCGGGGCGGGCGGGCTCGGGGCCCGTTCTGCCCTCGCCCCGCTGCCGGGGCTGCGATCCCGGGCTCCGCTCCCCGAACCGGGGGGAATGCCGGGCTGAGCTCATGGAGGTCGCGGCAAAACCTCCGGTGCCAGCGAGGCAGCGCGGCCCCGGGCCTGCCTCGGCCGTGGTTAAACTTTGATGGGGCAGAAGCGGTGGCACAAATGGGAGTTTATTTACCGGATTCCCGTGAAAAGCTCGGCTGGGGCCGGCCGGGCTGTTTTGCAACCGCTGCCGACTCAGGTGGTTTGAAACCTGATCGTGCGCTCATGTGGCCTTATCTGGGTCTGAGGGAATCGCCTCGGAACCTGCTCCGAGGGGCCCCGCGCGGGCAGGGAACGCGGATGGGCTTTATTTTCTCCACAATCCCGTTTGCCCAGCGGGCCAAACCCCTGGCACTGGGTTGCCCGCTCCCATCGGGCAGCTGCAGGAAGACTTGGGCTGGGAAGAGTGTGGGGCTCGCAGGGAGCAGCAGCTTCCCCGGACCTGTAGGGACCACGATTAGCTCTCAGTGCCCCCTCGGCATCCCCGGTTGTGTCCAGGAACCGTTTGTGTCCCAGTGCTACCGGGGGTCACCCTGGAGTATTCAGTTGTCCCTCAGAGAAGCCCTTGCAAGGAGCAGGGCTGGGAGGAGGCAGGGGCTGAGCAGGACCCTCATGACCCCAAGAGTTGCTGGATCCGGGTGGGATCAGGCCAGTTCAGCTCTGGAAATTCATAGGAGGAGGAGCCAAACCACCGCGGATCGTCCCAACACTTCGGGGGCTGATTTGAGGGGCGAGGCAGCACGGGGAAGCCGGAATCCTGCCTGGACAGGCTGGGGGGGATTGACGGAGCCCCTCACGTCCCAGCCCCTCACTCACCCAGCCCCTCTCCCCCCAGCCGAGGCCCGAGCGCTGCCGCAGCCTGAGCCGACCCCGCGCTGCCCACCATGGACACCGGAGTCATCGAAGGGGGTCTCAATGTCACGCTCACCATCCGGCTACTCATGCACGGAAAGGTTCGTGTCCCCAGCGCCCTGCGTGGAGCCCTGGCTGGCACGGGGTGGGCTGGGAGCCTCCGGGGGATCTCCTGGAGCTGCTGAGGGGCCAGGAATGTGCTGCTGGTGCCTGGGCAGGTCCTGGGGTGCTGCCAGAGAAGAAATTAATTATTGGGGGGGGCAGAACGACCCGATGGGAACTAAGGTGGGAGGAAGATCAGCACAACTGGGATAAACCCCAGTTATCTGAGGGGCAGAAGTCACACGCTCAGGAGCTTGTTTTGACTGTGAAAAGAGCCGAGTTTAGGCTTGGGGCTCCAGGAGTTGTTAAAACGCTGACTAACGGTGCTTTTGTTTCCATCCCAGGAGGTGGGAAGCATCATTGGGAAGGTAAGTGAGGAACAAACTCTCCTAGCCCTCCCTTTGCCCTTCTCCCCCTCCCTGGCTCCCTCCCTGCCCAGCGCCGCGCTGACGCCTCTCTCCCTTCTCTGTCCCTCACAGAAAGGGGAGTCGGTGAAGAAGATGCGTGAGGAGGTGAGTGCGGGCTGCGGGCGCGGGGCAGGATGGCGGGCCTGGCGCGGGCTCCGCAGGCAGCGCGGCCGCGGCGGCGCGGGGAATGCCGGGAGCTGTGGGCAGGCGCGGCAGGAAGCCGAGGAGGAGAAGATGGCTGCCCGAGCCGAGGGAGGGGAGGAGGAGGAGGAGGAGGGAGGGCTCTGTCCCCGGCGGGGGATCCGGAGGAATCCCGTGCAGCCCGAGCGCTGAGGTGGCGTTTGCCTCCCCGCAGAGCGGAGCTCGCATCAACATCTCGGAAGGGAACTGCCCCGAGCGGATCATCACCCTCGCGGGACCCACCAACGCCATCTTCAAAGCTTTTGCGATGATCATTGACAAACTGGAAGAGGTGTGTCCACGGTGCCCTGCCGTCACTGCCCCTTTATCCCTTCTCTGTGGAAGAGCTGACCCCGGGATGGGCCCCAGGGGGCCCAGGGCCGCTGTTCCGCACGGGCAGCCGGCGTTTCCCTGCCTGGCCCTGATCTTTGTCCGGCGCTGTGCTGGGGCAAGGTCCAGGCAGTGCTGGAGCCAGAGCCCCACAGGGACTTCCTACCCACGGGCTTGGAATCCCCCTGGCTCTGCTCGTGCTGGTGCCACTTCCCTCCAGCGTGCCCCAGGGCTGAGCTCTCTCTCCCCAGCCCTGCCAAGGAGGAGCTGGAGCTGCAGCTGTGTGGTGCTGGAGGAGCTGCCTCGTGTCCCTGGTCCTGTTAAATCAGTGACTTCCGGGGGGAATTTTGCTGCTAGATCATCTGGATCTTGCAGGTGTTAGAGCCTGCTCAGGGCTGTGATGTCAAGATTTCCACGCTGGAGGGAGCAGGAGTTGGGAGTGCTCCTCACCTGATGTGGGGTAGAGCTCTGTGGCCCTCACCTTGCCACAGGTGGGGGTACAAATTCTATTGCCCTTTAGATTTGGGACACTACTCAGGGAGAAATAACCCTGTGCTGGCAGCTGTGTCCCCAAACCCCCCTGCTCTCACTGCAGCGTTAGCAGCTGCAGGGCTTGGAGCTGTTTGTGCCGAATGCAGGGAGCCGGGGCCCTCCACGGGCTGCACGGCCCTGCAGCGCTCTGGGCACCGGCCTTGGAGCTGAAGCTTTGCTTTTAGTAGGTCAGTTGAGCCCTGGCCTTGTGCCTCCCCTCCCCCTGCCAGCACATGACCGCTGTAATCGGCGCCGGGATTGTTTTTCCCAGAGCTGCTGCCTTGATCCCTGGTGCAGCGGGAGGCTCCGTGCTGACCCTGGAGCCGTGGAGTCCCCGAGCCCCCCCTGCCCATTCCCTTGTCTCCCTCCAGCACCGGTTCCTGCTTGGCCGAGGTGGGACCCAGCTGGGGCCAGTGCCTAAACCCATTTCATTTCCATTGAGGCAGCAGAGTTTGGATGCTGCTTCCCAAAAATACATCTTGTGTTTTTTCTGGGCTGCTGAGGAAGTCCTGGGAAAGCCCCGAGGTCACCTTGGGCTCGGCCACTGGTGCCAGCGTCACCTCCCTGTCCCTGTGCCGGGCACGTCCCCAGTGCGTGCCGTTCCAGCAGGGCTGAGCCCTCAACACCTCCTCTTCCTCGCAGGACATCAGCAGCTCCATGACCAACAGCACAGCTGCCAGCCGGCCCCCGGTCACCCTCCGGCTTGTGGTGCCCGCCAGCCAGTGCGGGTCCCTCATTGGCAAGGGAGGCTGCAAGATCAAGGAGATCCGAGAGGTGCGTGGTGCCCAGCCTGGGGGACCCACGGGGGGGTTCAGGTGTCCCCAAGGGCAAATCCCTGTGTTGTCCCCGCCCAGGGGATGTGGCATCACTGGGAGCTTTTGGTGCTCCCTGTATTTTAGTGCTTGGCAAACTGAGACTCAGAGCAGACCCTTCTCTGCCCAGTACTGTCTCTCACAGCTTGGGTTCCTGCTCCCCGCTTCCCATGGCCCTCTCCCCAGCCTTTTCCTAGATTTTGGAGAGGGAGATGGGCTCCAGGCCAGCACTGCCCTTGGCCATGCCATTTAGCACTGGGTGCTGTTGGATTAACTTTGCTGGCATGGAGACTGGCTTGGCTTGGGTTACAGGGACAGGCTGAGGCGAGGTCCCCCTCTGCTGCCTCAGGCTCCTGGTGACCGAATTGTATCCAGCTGAGATTAGAGGACTTTATTTTGGGGGAAAGGAGGAGCTGGGGGGGCAGTTTTGGCTATGTATAACCATGCACGGGGTTCGTCGCTGAGGTCTCAGCCCTGCTTGGGGTCTGACGGGCTATTTTTAACCCTCGACTTGGCAGAGCACGGGGGCACAGGTCCAGGTGGCAGGGGACATGCTGCCCAACTCGACTGAGCGAGCCATCACCATCGCTGGGATCCCACAGTCCATCATCGAGTGCGTCAAACAGATCTGCGTCGTCATGCTTGAGGTAGGGCCCCTCCTCGGGCCTGTCCCTGGGGAGGCGGGTGCTGCCCTTGGAGGGGTGGAAATGCTGAGGAGGGAGAAGAAAGGAGCTGCTGGGGGATAAAGGGATAGCTGGGGATTACAGCCTCATCCAGGTGAGGCTTGGAGCTGCTTAAAACCGGGGTCGAGCGGGGCCTCGAGAGCAGCTTGTGGTGTCACCCACGGCCCTGCTGTGCTCCTGGGTGCCCTCCCTCGGCCCTGTGCCCAGGGTGAGGAAGAAGTCACGCTGCCCTGGGTTGCCACAGGGCCAGCTGGAAGCGCAGCGCAGAGCCCCGGGGGTGTGGGCCGTGGGGAGGGGGCTGTCGGTGCCAGCAGCGCTCGATGTGTGACCTGCCCTCTCTGCCTGTCACGCAGTCTCCCCCGAAGGGTGTCACCATCCCGTACCGACCCAAGCCATCCAGCTCTCCTGTCATCTTTGCAGGCGGCCAGGTAAGGGCTCTCCTCTGCTCCTGGGGTGCGGGGTGGGGAGGGGCGGGGGTCGTACCGAGCTGCCAGCGCGCCCCGGCCGCTCCGCGTGCCCGTCACCCACGCCGTGCCCTCGGCCCCAAGCGGCTCCGCTGGGCCTTGGCCCCCTCCCCCTGCTGAGGGAGGGCAGCAGGGAAAAGGGCCGATTTGGGAGGAGAGGGTGCTGGAAAACACTCCTGGAATTAACCGGCCAAAAAACGTCTGCCAGTGTGGTGGCGGCAGTGGGGTTTGAATGGGGCCGAGCTGCCTAACCCAGGCTCTGCCCCTCTGCCTCGGGCTGGCTCCAAGGACTCGCTGTCACCCCCTGTGGGTGACTGGCCCGGAGGTTGGGGGTTCTCTGCTCTCTGCCACTGGTTTTCGGGGTGCAAAGGCTCAGCCTGTGCCGTGGGTAGGGTTGGGGTGCGCAAAGGCTTCTTCTCTCAGGAGGGGAGGGTGTCAGACAGGAGTAGTGTCAGGTGACTGAGCGTTAGTCCCTCCTGCGCTGAGCTGGGGAGTGGCCCGAGCCCTGCCCTGGGCCACCTTACAGGGGACAGGTGTCCCTCGGGATCCTGTCTGCTGTAACGGGCCCAGGTGTGGGTCAGCTGCTCCCACCCTGCGCCCCCGGGGCTGCCCCAACGCTCGGAGAAACCACGGCGACAACACTGCCTTCCTGCTGCCTTCCTGCTGCCAGGGACGCCCCTCGGGGTGGGCAGGGCCTGGCTTTGTCAGTGGGGGCCTCAGTAGGCAGGGAAGGGGGTCAGGGAAGGGGCGTAGCTGCCGCCGGCCTCCCCGAGAGCCAGGCCTGACTCCGCTCTCCCCCCTCCCAGCCCCGCCACGCTTGTTCTGGGGACGGACCTGCCGCCGTCCCCTTCCTCCCCACCCCTGCCCCTCTCCCTGCCTCTTCCTCCCCACCTGAACCCGGTCAGCCCCCCCCTCCCGCCTCCCCGACAGCTTCTCCCGCCGCTCTGCACCCGGGGGAAGCCCCCGCGCCCCGGCCAGCGGCGGGGCCGCAGCGTGCGGACCCCCGGGCGGGAGCCGGCCGCCTTCCCCGTTAGAGCAGTGAGAGGAGCAGGCTTCCCACAGCCACGCATCTCTTCCCTCCCCTTGCCCCTCTTCTCCCCCTTCCTTCTTTCCGCCCCCGTCCCCGGCCCAGGCCCGCAGCAGCCCCCGGGCCCCGCTCCCGGTGGGCCTTGCGCTCTCTGTCTTCGCAGCTCAGAGTCGTGCGTAGAGCAGGGCGAGCCCTCGATCAGCACTGAGCTAATGTGGATGTTGAGTTTGGTGTTAGCGAAAGGTTTCGGATTGACAGCCCTGGAGACTGAAGTCCTCTAATTTATCCACAGGACAGGTACAGCAGCGGCAGTGCGAGCTACCCCCACACCGCCCCATCCATGTGCCTCAACTCTGACTTGGAGGGACCACCTCAGGAGGTGAGAGGGGAGTTCAGTCTCCACGGCCCGTTCAATCCTTGGCCTCTCTGAGACTGCCAACAAGGGTGGCATCCCTGTCCCCGTCCCCCAAAACCGACAACGGTGGCTTTTTGTGCTGTGGACTCCTGTCCACTGGGAACTGGACTCTGAGCCCACCAACCTCTCCTCACGCAGGCCACCCGGCAGCCACTGCATGGCAACGAACTTGGGCCAATTCCAGCCTGGGCTGCAGTTCTTCCGGTGACCTGGAAGTGAGGCTGTGTACCCCCCTCTCCCCCTCCTCTCCCACCCGCCCCCACCTGCCCGGCCCCCCCAGACCTCCCCAAACCTTAGCCAGCCAGGCCCCAGCCAGTGCCTCGCCCTTTCTGGGTAGCTTCAGGAGGAATCTGAAGTCTGTGGCTGTCCCTTGTAACCTCGGGGACACGGAGTTGTGGCAGGTCAGGCCCTCGCCTCGTTCCCCTCCGAGCACTGGGCCGTGTGAGCAGTGGTAGCCAGCGCCAGCACTGACCTGTAGCTTGCCCGGCGACGTTGTCCTAGGCGTGTGGAGTGACGAGAGGACTCGGAACGGGGCAAACTTTTTTTTTGGGGGTGGGAGGGGAGGCGGGGGAGCTGCCGGGCCGGGGCAGAGAGGGGCCAGGAGCAGCAGCAGGGCCGGCGGGGGCGTTGGATCCTCCCTGCCTGCGCGGGGGCGCAGGGATAGCAGCATTGTCGGACTCACCACACCATAACATCTTCATCAAGATCCCAGCCGTTCTCTTGTTGGTTTTTTGGTTTTTTTTCTTTTTTTCCTTTTTTCTTTTTTTTTTTTTCTCCTTGTTTTTTTGTCTGCCACCTTTTTTTTGGGGGGGGGACGGCACCGATTCTGCCCACCCCCTCCCCGTACCCGCCACGTCAGGCCAATTCGAGTAACCGCCAGCCTAGAAACTGCTTGTGACAGCATTTATCCGTCCCCGCCTCTCCTGCCCCACTTCCCTCGCCCCGGAGAACTCTCCACCTTGGCTCTCTGACTTCCTGGCTAGTTGAAATCTGTCTGTCCCTGGGTGGCTGTCCGATGGTTGTTAATAGGACTGTTTTCCTCCTTTTGTAGGCCTATACCATTCAAGGACAGTATGCCATTCCACAGCCAGATGTAAGTTTTTATTTACAACTTCTTGTCTTGAAATCCACCCTTTTCCTCCCTCACCTTCCAAAAATTTTCTCCGTGCTTTCTCCACTCGAGCTGGCTCAGCTTGGGGCTGAATACTCGATCTGATCTGAGCTTCCCAGAACCTCCCCCCCAAAAAAACACTCCACCCCCCCCTCAGCCGGCCCTCCTGCAGCCAGCTTCAGCTGGCCTCAGATCTCTCCTTGGATCCTCCCCCACCTCCTCTCTGACACTTCCCTCCTCCTTATTATATTTTTTTTCCAAACCCACCTCTCCCTGGCTTGGCATTTCACACCAGCTCTGGCTTTTCCTTTGCCCCCCCGCCCCCCCCCAATTTGGCACGAGAACCGCCCCCCCCCAGCCAGCACACGGTGGCTCTGTCACGGTGGCTCTCCCGGGGCAGGGGACAGCTGGCCCAGCGAGCGGGCGCAGGTGGCAGTCGGGGAGGGGGGTTGGACCCGGCCCAGCCCGGCGGGGCCGGCCGGGAGCGGAGGGACCATCCCGGCAGCGGCCGGCGCTGTCGGACACCTCCATCCTCTGGCACCCATCCTCATCCCGTAGGGGCTGCTCTCTGCTCCTGGCACCTGTAGGGCAGCGAGGGGGGTCTGGCACGGGGGGACGGGGGCTCCGAGGAAGCCGGGCTGGCACAGCAGAGCCGAGCGCGCTCCGTGCCCGGTCCCTGCGCTCCCCGCCGTGCCACGGGCACCTGCTCCCTCCTCCCGCTCCTCTCTGCTTCTGTTCCTGCGCTCCTCCAGCCCTTGCTGCACCGAGGGGGGTGGGCACGGCCCCCAGCCCGCCGTGGCCGGGCCGGGGCAGCACGGAGGGGCCGGGGCGGGCGGCGGGGCCGCGTCCGTGCGGGTGCGCGCGGCGACTCCTGGCCCCCGGCCCCGGGAAATGGCTAACGCCAGCCTCTCTCTCTCTTTCTCCCTCTCCCTCTCTTCCCTTCTCCCTCCTTTAGCTGACCAAGCTGCACCAGTTGGCAATGCAACAGTCACACTTTCCAATGTCTCATGGCAACACTGGATTCAGTGGTATGGAAACTCCTTCTCTCCGTGTGCGTTCGCGCGCGGCCGGAGCCCAGCCCGGGCCGCTGCCGGCTCCTGCGTGGGGGCTGTGCTCACAAACCTAACCCCAAACGCTGCCCGGGCCCGGCCAGGTAACTGCTGCTGTTGTGGTGTGTCTGGGGGCCGCAGGGACAGGGCCTCCATCCATCCATCCACCCACCCACCCACACTGCTTCCCTCCCTGGTGCCCGCTCCTCGCAGCTCTGCCAGCGCACTGGGAGACCCCCGCCCGCAGCACCCGCTCTCCCCTCCGGCTACTCCAGGCCTAAAGCAGGCGACTGCTGGTTGTACCAAATTCGCTGTAGATTTGCTAAGATGGCTGAAAAAAAACAAGCCACCTAAAAAAAGAAAAGAAAAAAAAATCAGAATTACCCATTTGGGGCTCTAAACTTGAGACAGCCAAACTCATTGTGACTTGTATCTTAACAGGCGTTGACTCCAGCTCTGCAGAGGTGAAAGGCTATTGGGGTAATGATCCAAACACACCATCTGTAGTTACTCTGTTGTTTATTGATGCTGCCCGGGGTCTCATTCTCCCTGATAGATGCTGCCCGGATGGGGGGAAAGGGGGTTGAGGGGAGCCCCAGAAGGGCTGGAGGTGCAGCCTGGCTCGGCTGCCTGGGCCCTGGAGCACAGCTGGATAGTGGAGAGCAGCAGGACTGGGTGGAGACTCGGCTGTCCCAGCGAGCTGTGGGCCCCGAGCTTTAACCTCCCCACCCCAAAAAACACACAGAGGGGAGCAGCCCCCAGCCGAGGAGGAGCTGGAGCTGTCAGGAGCTGGAGCTGCCCCGCGAGTCGGGGGTCAGCACTGGGTGTCACCTGCTGTGTCCCCCTGCCACAGCCCCGCTGTGAGGGCTCGAGGCCGCCCTGCTGCCGCTCCCTCTCGCAGGGAGCGAGCTGGGAAAGGGGAGAAGTGGAAAAGTGTGTTCGAAACGCCCCAGGCACACGAGCTCAGCCCCTTGTGGGGTGTGAGCAGCCTCCCAGGCAGTGCCTGCCATAGCATGGCCCTGCAGGGCAGCAGGGAGGAGGAGGAGGAGGATGAGGGGAGCTGTGGCCTTTGAAAGCTGGACCCGGAGTGGGAGCGGAGGCGAGTGCCTGGCTGGAGCCCCCCAGTGCCAGCCCCTTGCTCTGGGATTGTCCCACCTTGATGGAGAATCCACGTGGGGAGGGGACACAGAGGGGAGAACTGCAGGGGTGAGCAAGGAGAGGGAGGCAGGTTTGGGGAGCAGCGGGGTCTGGAGTAACCTCCCAGCCTGCTGTGCCCCCCCTGCCTGCTCGGAGCCCTCCCAGGCAGCCTGAACCCTGCAGCACTTGGGTGCTGCACCCCCCGGCTGCCCCCACCCTCACCTGGGCCCCCTCTCTCTGTCTCCGAGCAGGTTTGGATGCCTCTGCCCAAACCACCTCCCATGAACTCACCATTCCAAACGATGTGAGTATCCCGGGGGGGGTGGGGGGTGGCTGCCCCTTGGCTCCCCGGGGTCTGCCCCTGTCTCAGGGGCTCTGGGGTCACTGTCCGTGCCTTTGAGGCTGTGGTGGGCTCTGGCTGCATCCCAAACCACCTCCTCAGGCCATTCCGGCTGCCACTATGTCCCTTGTCCCCATTCCAGTGACCTTCAAGGCAAAAAAGCCCTTTTTCAATCCCTTAATCCCCTCTTTTCCAACTAACACCCCATTCCCAGGAATCCCATAGTCATGGAGCTGTTGAGGTTGGAGGAGGCCTTTAAGGCCACCAAATCCAACTGTCCCCCCACCACTGAACTGTGTCCCCAAGGGCCACATCCTCACCTTTATTTTGGACACCTCCAAGGACGGTGTCCTCCCCTCCTGCCCTGGGCAGCCTGTGGGGCTGGGACAGCCCTTTCCCTGCAGGAATTGCCCAGTGTCCCCTTGGGAGGTGCCAGGGCAGGATGAGGCTGAGCTGACCCCGTCTCCTCTCCCTTCCCAGCTGATTGGCTGCATCATCGGGCGTCAGGGCGCCAAGATCAACGAGATCCGCCAGATGTCCGGGGCTCAGATCAAGATTGCCAACCCCGTGGAAGGCTCTACTGACAGGCAGGTGACCATAACTGGATCTGCAGCGAGCATCAGCCTGGCCCAGTATCTAATTAATGTCAGGTGAGTGCCGCTGGCCCGGCCCTGCTCCCTCCCCGCGCCCGCATGAGGGGAAGGGCTTTCCTCTCTCCCTGTCCCCTCCCCGTGCCTGCTGTCCCTTTCCCCGCTGCCGTCCCCTCCAGGAATGCTGCAGGGTGAGGATGGGGCTGGGGGGAGCCTGGCTCTGCTGTGTCACCCTGAGGGGTGCAGGGGGGGCTGCTGTGCCAGCCCTGTCCTGGGGGTCCCGAGCGTGGGACGCTGCCATCCCAGAGCTGCTGGTGCTGCTGGCAGCACCTGGCTCTGCTCTGGGGCCCTGCCTCGGGCTGCCCCGTTGGTGTCCCCGTGTCCCCTGTTCCCTGCCTGCAGCTGGGAGTGCCATCTCCTGGCTGAGAGGGGCTGGGGGGTCCCTGGGCTGTCCCCGCTCCCGCAGAGCAGCAGCTGCTGGTGGTTTCCTCTGGACTTTGGCTCCTTCCTGGGGGATCCTCAGGGGGGTGTGGGGGTCCCTGTGCAGCTGGGCCAGGCCTGGCAGCACCATCCCTCCCCTCCCTCCCTCCCTTCCCTCCCTCCCTTCCTTCCTTCCTTCCTTCCGACCCTTCCTTCCTTCCTTCCTCTGCGCCGTTTTCGCTGTTTGTCCTGTGCTTTTTTTTCGCATTTTGTGCTGTTCCTTCCCTCCCACCCACACCCGTGTTTTTTTTTTTTTTTTTTTTTTTTTTTTTTTTTTCTTTTTTTCTTTTTTTTCTTTTTTTTTTTTGTTGTTGTTTTCCTTTTCTCCTCTGTTACAGTTTAGAAAGCGCTAAACCCTCCTCCCAGGCAGCCTCCGTCACGATCCCTGACCACCTCAGCATCAACCTCTCTCAACCCTCCACCCCTTCTTCTTCTTCCTCCTCCACCACCACCCCCTCGCTCGCCACCGCGGGGGCCTCCGACGCACCCTCCAGCCTCCCCAACCCTCTTCCGACCGCCCCTTGTGTCTCCAGTCTGCTTGGCATGAAACCTGTCCCTCTCCTGGCGCTAAATGTCGTGTCTGCGGCCAAGGGCGCCGCGGCGCCCGCCGTGCCCTGTGTCACTAACAAACTCAAAGCGGAGAAGCAGAGGTTTTCCCCGTACTGAGGCTGCTCCAGGGGTGGCAGCACCAGGACCCCGGAGAGGAGACTTGGAACGCCAGTTTTTTTTTTCCTCTTTTTTTATTCTTTTTGGGGTTTTTTTTTAAATTTTCCTTTGTACCGAGCTCGCGCTGCCGTGGCAGCAGCAGAGCTGTTCTTGCCGGCCGAGAGACTGTGTCCCCGTGTCCTGTGAGCGGTCACAACTCCTTCTCCGCCTGCCTGTAGTTGTTGCTTGTTACTTTTTTTTTTTTTTTTATTTTTTTTCCTTTTTTCTCCTGCTTTTCCCTTTTTTTTTTGAGTAGTTTGGGTGCAGCTGTGGGGTTTGGGGAGGGATGGGGGGGTGGAGGGAGGGAAGGGACTCTGTGATTTTTTTTTTGTGGGAGGGGGAACTGCATCCCCGGTGCCCTGGGGGCCTCACCTGTCCTCTCTTAACTGTCTGTACCTGTAATAAAGTTGCCACGGTGAGAATCTGCTCTGGTAGATCTGTGCCGCAGCGGGGCCCGGCCCGGGGGTCCCCTCTGCCTGGGGGGGTCTCCACCCCTCCACCCCCAGCCCCAAACCGCAGCGAGGCCGAGCGCGGAGCCGCCACGCCGGGCCTGGGGGGTGGGCTGCCCTTGGGGGGGTCCCTGCTGGCCCAGGGACCCCGTGCAGTGTCTGTGTGTCCCCTGCTGCCCCGGGGGTCCCTGCTGGAGGTGCCCCCCCCTTTCCCTGCACTCCCCCTACCCCGCTGCCTCCTCCCTGCCCCACCTGGGGGGTCCCGTGGATCTCCCCAAACCCTCGGAGCAGAGCCCACCACGCTCAGCCCAGACCCCCAGGACCCCCCCAGACCCCTCCAGCGCCATTCCAGGGCGGGGGGGGCACTCCCTTCCCTGGCTGCTTGTGCAAACCCCCCAAACCCCTCCTGAGGGGGGGTCCCCTGTGGGGCCCCTTCCTGCCCCCGCCGCGGGGCTCCCCTGCCCCCCCCCGAGGGCGTCCCTCCCACCCCGTCTCGGTGCTGGGGGTCCCTCTGACGCCCTTTTCTCGTTGCAGGCTCTCCTCGGAGACCGGGGGCATGGGCAGCAGTTAGGGGGGCCCCGGACCCCCCCGCCTCGCCATCCATCTGCGGCCCCTTAGCACCGACCCAGGTTTTAAACTAGTTTGTACATTTTCGGTTCCTCCAGCCTCGCGCCACTCACCAGGTTCAGTTTGTTTCAATTTTTTTGTTTTTCGTTTTTGTTCTGTTTTTCGGGGTTATATTTTTTTTTCCCTCTCAAATTAAAAGCATTTTAATTCCTTCGTTCAGCTCTTAAAATTGCTGAACCCCAAATCTTAGTTTTATAAAGCTTCTCTCTCCTCTCCCCACCCCCCCAGCACCTTCTCCCCTCCTTTCCCTGTTTTTTCGGCTCATGAAGTTTCTGTTTTTGTCATGAAATGTAAGAGTGGAAGACAAACGAAAAAAAGAAAAAAAAAAAAAAAAACATTTCAGTTTAGTTCTGTAACGTCAGGAAATTTTTCAAAAAAAAAAACTGAATAAAAAGATGGACTGGAGCTTTTCCTTGTGAATAGAACCTGCAGGATATTTTGGTTAATGGATCTGCCTGTCTCAGTCTTTATTTGAAACCCCCGTGGCTCTTCCCAGTGCTCCCAGTATGGTCCAGTTTGGTTCTGGAGAGGGATGAACCACCCCAGCTGGCGTTTGGGATCCTTCCAGAGGGTGGAGGACCAACCCAGTGCTCCCAGTATGGCCCAGTTGGGTCTGTCAGTCCCACGGCAGTGGCATGAACCAGTCCTGGGGAGGGAACTTTGCCCCTCCAGATGAATTTTTGGGGGATCTTTCCCATTTCCCTCCAAACTGGTCTCAAATGGGAACCTGCTGCTGGTTCTGTTCCCTCTCTGCTCTCCCCCTAAATCCCCTGGCACCTACAGGAGTGACAAGTGACAAACCCCCTCCCTGTCCCCCCCCTTTCCCCCAGTCTGAGCCGGGGCAGCCCTGGGGTGCTTCCACACAAACAAAGGGGGGCCACGACCCCCTGCCCCTTCCCCCCGAAGGCAGAGCCGCAGTAGAGAGCGATAGATATTTATATAAATATTTGGGGCTGTACAAGTGAGGAGTGCAGGGTGGGGGGTGTGGGGGGTCACAGGCCCGGGGGGGCTGTGGGCCGGGGAGGCCCCTCGCCGCTGCCTGAGTGGTCCAGCTCTGCACTGTCACAGTCCGAGTCCTCGGAGACCTGGGGACACCAACGGGGCTGGGACACCCCCGGCCCCCCTGTCCTGGGGAGGGGGACCCCTCCCTTTGCCACCCCCACCCCACGGGGACCATTCCTGGGGGAGAGGGACCCCTCCCTTTGCCACCCCCTCCCCACGGGGACCATTCCTGGGGGAGAGGGACCCCTTCCCTTTGCCACCCCCACCCCACGGGGACCATTCCTGGGGGGCCCTGTGGACCCTCTTCTCTTTGCCAACCCCGTCTGGGGGCTCGGGGGACCCCCCCACCCCATGGGGACCATTCCCAGGGAGCCCTGCAGCCCCCCTTCCACTTGCTGACCCCGTTTGGGGGGCTTGGGGGACCCCCACCCCACGGTGAGCGTCCCCGGGGGTGCCCCTGGCTGGGGGCATCACCTTGGTGGGGCTGAGCCCCCCGTGCCGGCGGCCGGGCCCCTCGGGCGGGGCCGCGTCCAGCGGGATCTCGGAGCCCTGGGACAGCAGGTCCTCGGAGCGGTCGTCGGGGCGCTCGTCCGTGTTGGTGCTGCCCACGTCGGGGGTGGCACTGTGCGACGGCTCGCTCGTGTGGCCCTCGTCGCCGTCCCCGTCCGAGAAGTTCTCCGAGCTGAAGGTGGACAGCGACTGGCGCTTGCTCATCCCCGGGGGCCACCTGGGGAGGGGCGAGGGGGGCGTGAGGGCTCCGAGCAGCCCGGAGCCCCCCCGGTATCCCCGGGCACGCGAGCGGGGGTCGCACCCACCTCTGCCGCAGCGGCAGCTCCACCTCGCTGTCCACCTCGCCCTCCTCCTCCTCCGACGAGACCCCCCGTTTCTGGGGGCGCACGGAGGGGCTGTTGGGGTCCTCCTGGCGCCCCTCGGGAAGGACCCTCGGTCCTGACCCGCCCGCCACCCCGCGAGGGACCCGGCAGTCCTGACGCCCCCTCCCCGAAGGAATCCATCCCCCTCCCGCTTCTGGGACGGCCCTGGGGTCTCCCCCCGTGTCCTCGCCCCCCCCACAAAGGGACGCGGGGGTCTGGGGTCTCACCTGCCCGCGGGTGACGGCCGCCCGGTACAGCAGAGCCGCGGGGGTGAGGTGCTGCCCGGCCCCCCCTTTCCCCCCCCGGCCGGCCCCGCTCTCCCGTTCGGGCTCCCCGGGAGTGGGGGGCTGCGGCGGGGGGGACCCTTGGGTGCCCGTGGCCCCCTCGGGTCCCACATCAGGTACCGTGGCCGGGGGGGCACCCGCGGCCTCCAGGGTGCCCCCGAGGATGTCGGGGCTGGCGGCGGTGGCGGGGGGACCCCGGGGGGTTCCGGCCTCGGGTCCCGGCTCCCCGCAGCCCCCCCGGGGCCCCGCTTTGCGGTGGCGGCCCTTGGCCCGGCGGCTGCGCCCGGGGGACGGGGGACCCTTGGGACACCCCGGCAGCGCCACCTGCGCCATGGCCGCGTCCAGCTTGGGCAGCAGCACCTCCGGCTTCAGGATGTCGGGGCTGCGCACGGGAGGGACACGGGAACGGGCTGTGGAGGGGATCCGGGCACCGCGACCCCTGGGGTATCCACAGCCCCGCAGAACGCCCTCCCCCCCGGGACACGCAGCCCCAGAACTCCCCCGAAGGAGCCCGAACCCCCACGCCGAGCTCCCCAAGCATCGGCACACCCGGAGCATCTCTCCCCTCAAGAACCCAGACACCCCCAGTCCCCTAAACTACCCCAAATCCAGACCCCGCAACATCTGCACACCCAGAGCATCTCCCCCCTCCTCAAAGAGCCCAGACACCCCCACCCCAAACAACGCCGTCCTCCCAGCCCCCTAAACGACCCCACATCCAGGTCCCCAGACCCCCCCACCCTGCTGGACCCACATGTCCGTGCCTCCCCGCCCAAATCCCCGGCACCCCCGTTCTCCCCCCATCTCCTCCCGCCCCAAACCCCCCGAGGTGCTCCCCCCGAGGGACCCCAGCCCCGCTCACCGCTTGCCGTGGGGCGAGAGCTTCTGGGGCACGTTGCGCTTCTTGATGAGGGTCTCGACGGCGTTGCCGTGCAGGAGCCCCCGCGGCACCCGCGGCTTGAAGAGCCCGGGGTAGCGCTTCTCCAGCGCCTGCTCCCGCCTGCCACGGGCCACGCGTGGGCACCCGCGCCCTGCCCGCGGCAAGCGGGGCCGGGGAGCGGCCGCGGGCTCAGGGACAGCCACGGGCGGCACAAAGGGCTGGCGTGGGCAGGGAGTGACCACGGGACGGGCACAGAGGGGCTGGGGTGCTCTTTGGGAGGGTGCTGTTCGGGGGTGTTATTTTGGGGGGGTGTAGCTGTTTGGGGGGTGTAGCTGTTTGGGGGTTATTTTGGGGGGTGTAGCTGTTTGGGGGTGTTATTTTGGGGGGTGGCGCTGTTTGGGGGTGTTATTTTGGGGGGTGGCGCTGCTTGGGGGCGCTGTTTGGGCGCTGCCCACCCACCTGAGCAGCTCCTTCTCCTTGAGCTCCAGCTGCAGCATGAGGGCGCTCAGCTCCATGTACAGGTTGTTGGCGCGCTCCAGTTTCCGCTCGTAGTGCTCCCGGATGTCCAGCGCGTGCCTGGGGACACGCGTGGCGTCAGAACCGGCCGGGGACAGGGACAGCGATCTCACGGCCCCGCAGCAGGGACAGCGACCCACAGCCCCCCCTGTGCCCCCCGCCCCTGGCTCCCGCCGGTCCCTTCCCAGCGCTCCCAGCACGGCCCCACCGCAGCTCCTCGCGCCGCCGGTTGATCAGCTCCTCCTCCAGCCGGTGCAGACACGTCCCCTCCGACTTGATCTTCTCGAAGTGCAGCTTCACCTCCTCCCGCCACTCGGCCTGCGGCACAGGGACAGCGCTGCCGCTGCCAGCGGGCTCCGGCCACCCCCGGGCTCCGGCCACTGCAGGCTCCGGCCACGCCGGGCTCCGGCCACTGCAGGCTCCGGCCACCCCGCACGTGCCGGGCTCTGGCGGCGCTGCGGGCACTGCCCGGCTGGGCCCTGCGGTACCGGAGTAGGGGGGTCCTGGGCTGCTGGGGGGGTACCTGGGATTTGAAGTAGGTCTCCTGGGGGGTGGAGAGGACGTCGGCCGAGGCGATGTCGAGGTGCAGCAGGATCTGGCGGAAGGACGGCCGGTTCCGGGGTTTGCTGTTCCTGGGGAAGGACACGGCACTGGGGGTTTGGGACCAGGGGCAGAGAAGGGCGCACAGGACACAGCGGGGGCACTGCCACAACCAGGGCTCCCCCCTGTCCTGCCCTGTGCCACGGGTGCCCACAGAACGTCCCCAGGGCGTCCCTCGGGGTGTCCCCGTGG